AATGAAAATAGATTTTGCTTTAGTTAAGACCTTTAAAACAATTTATGGATTTATAATTCTTAAATAAAATGTAAAATGTTAACACGAAGGATTTTTTTTTTGTTAATTTTGAAATAATTTTTCTTATTAATTATGATATAACATGAGATAATTTGGATTTTTTGTTAATTTAAGAAACTGTACTTATTAATTATTTAAATTCAATTCAAAGGGACTTGAATTATAAAAAAAAGGGCGAGTTATATATGTATGTTTATGCGTACTTGATATTGTGGTACATGTTTCTTTTATACTTCCTTTTGTGAATATTTATTGTTTAAACAAATACGTAAACGAAATATCCTGGTCTGACACACCGTTCAGATTGTAGGAGAAACCACGAGTTGTTGGCGGGGGCGTGTGGGTAGTGGTGCGGTTGTATCTGTTGTGTGGTCTATCGTGGTTGTGGTGCGGTCTATTGTGTTGTTGTGTTGAGGCCACAAATGATGTGGTCCACTGCCGAAGAGTCCGTAGACCTGAGCAGACTCTGAGGTCGCAAGCATTGCACTTGACTGAGGTGGAGTTGCGGTGTAATCATCTCTGGCATACACAGCAGGTGTAAGTTTCTGGCCCTGGGCAGAAGAATACGTAGCAAATGTAGCCCTTTGGACGACCAACTTCCGAGATATGACACCGACCTAACCGGGGTTAGATCTCCGTAACAACATCCCTTGGTTGGACAAATTTCATTTTTACACATTCATATTTCTGGCATAAGGGGGACGGCAAGTAGTTTTAAAGAAACTCTCATCCAATTATTCACACTTTTAATATTTATGTATATACAAGAGCATACATGTACATTCTTTGAAGTATAGTATGTTTGTTTTAAATCATTTTAAAAAATTAGGTTATGTTTGTAACACCAATTTTAAAATTAGTATATATACATGATTCAATAATCAGCCTCATTGTGTAAGTCGTAAATTAGGATAAATTATACTACTCGACAACATTGGTATTGTCTACTGGCATGTTGAAATAAGTAAACGACGAAAATCGTCGAAAAATGTGCAGTGCTGCCAAGTTTTTCCGTTTTAATACACTAGTCGAGTCGAAATTTTAGGCAATGACATGAAATTTTCGATACGATTCGACTCTTGAAAAACGACTTGCATTCGACACGACTGTCGCAATGAGGTTGAATAAATTAATAATTATTGACTCATGGTATATATATACATACATATGTCTGGCATTTACAAATAAAGAGATGCCGCAAAAACAATATCCCTTTTTAGAAGCCGTACGCCCTCAGAAAACTTGTTCTCCAAATCTGTGTTTCCGATTGTTTTTGCTGCTTGGCATAGCTGTCGTAGCAATTCTTCCAGGCGACGCATACAGCGAATAATTGAACCTTCGAAAATATCCGTCATCCTACACACGCTCAAGAATGAAGCACCTTTGCACCAAGCCAATACACAGTCCATTAGAAATGGTTTAAATTTGTCTACATACGCTTCCTCGTCCACGGTTAACTTGCAATCAGTAGATATTTTGGCAATACGTCGGGCCAGATCTTGCATTGACCGTAATGGGCCCGACAACTCTTCCGTTGCCTTGGGAGTTTCTGACGACTTTTCATCGCAGACGAAACATGAAAGTAATGCTACTGACTGGGCCGATGAAATTTCATTGAATATTCCGTTGAATATCATTTCTGTTAAAAGTAACTCATCTGCAGAACTTAACTCGCAAGCAACACGTCCCTTAAACTCGATCACATCGGCTGTTGTACAATATTCCATTCGACGCAAAACACGTTTACGGTGTTTCAACTCGTCCATTTGTAGCAAACTGCGCGCCTCTTTTAATTTAGTTTTTACCGATTTCAATTCATCTTGGACTTTTAGTTTTTTCGTATAATGTTCGTAAATCCTGTCCAGTTCAGCAGAGTTATGCAAGGGATGTGCGAAAAGTCTTTCTTCGAACTTATCAATAGAACCGACAATCTCTTTGAATTCTGGATTTTTTATATTCAATTCTGTTATAGGATTAAGAAGCGGTGGGCCTTTAGGAAATCGTTTTTTAACCTCAGCAATTGTTTTAAGAACACTTCTGCGATTGTCTGCCGGACGCAAGTCGTTTGGATAATATACACGCAAAGAAGAAATCTGTGATATAAGAGTGTGAAGAACAGGAACCACTTCCATGTTGCCTTTTTGGTCTGGCTTGCACGGTTTAGGTTCATCGGCTTTGGCAGATTCCTCAGTAACATGTAGTAAAACATCTACTACTATGACTGTCTCAACTTTCGTGGGATTTTTTGCATTATTTGTTTGTTTTTTGAAATTTACTACTATACCCCAATCAAACTCCTCTCTGTCGTTTTGTACTTTTATGAGACGTCCTGGTTGCAAAAATGGTACTAGATATTCAGGTTTCGTAATCCAATTTTTGAACTGCTTGCCAAGGGAATCGAGTTGTTTGCGTATATGATGATACGATGCAACACTATGCTCTTCGGTTATTTTAATCTTTTCCAACTCAAGTTGCTTGTCTTGAACTTGTTTGTAAAGTTCAGGTATTGAAGATTGGTTTTGAAACTGAAAAAATGAACGTTCTAACATGTATTCAGGATTAATTTCTTCTACGCGCAGCAGATTCAACACCATATTATAGGTTAAATGAAATGCTGAATTTATTGGATCTGCTTTTCCTTGCACGATTCCGCGGCCAATTGCTGGCGATACTTTTTCGTCAATCATTAAAATAACGATACCTTTATCATCCAAGCCACGTCTGCCAGCTCGGCCGGCCATCTGTATGTATTCGCCTGAGGAAATCCACCTTAAATTTTTTTAAATATTAATTCCATTTGTTGGGCAACAAAAAAAAATACTTCGATATACCTAAAACTTTTGCCGTCAAATTTGCGTGGTGCTGTAAAAAGTACAGTGCGAGCTGGCATATTTAAGCCCATTGCGAAAGTTTCTGTGGCGAAAAGTGCCTTAAGTAAACCTTCTCCAAACAAAATTTCAATAATTTCTTTGAGAATTGGTAAAAGACCTCCATGATGTATACCAATGCCACGTTTTAACAACGGTAATACATTTTCTACTTGTGGTAACTGACGATCTTCTTCAGAGAGCACATCCATGGCATTATTAAATACTTCATCTACCAGTTTTTTCTCTTCAGCAGTATTAAAATCCAGCTTAGCCATTTGCATAGCATATATTTCACAATCTTTTTTACTGAATGAAAAAATTATTACTGGTGCAAAATTTCGTTCCATTATCATTTTGACAATTTTGAAAATATTTGACTGGCCACTGTCAACCCCTCTAATGCCGGTTTTACGCCCTCTCTGATCGCCTTTTGCAGCTTCGCCTAATTTGAAATAAAAGTTTTATTTTAAGTGAATCACGACATAAGTGCAAATTTTCTACCCACCAGTGTTCTGCAAAACTGCCATTGCCGTTGTAAAATTTTCTTCCTTAAATTGCCCTTTTTCGTCAACTATAAGATGGATGCCATCGCCTCCAGCAGGAAATATATAATGTTGTAGCGGGGTTGGTCGATAATCTGTATAAACCACGTGGCATGGTTGCTTGTGGAGATGGCAAACCCATTCCGCAAATTGGCGGGCATTGGGAATGGTAGCGGAAAGAAACACATAACGCACATTATCCGGTAGCAATATAAGTGTCTCCTCCCATACGACACCACGTTCCTTATCCCGCATATAGTGAATTTCGTCGAATACGACCCAACCGACTTCACGCATAATTTCACTTCCTCTATACAACATATTTCGCAAAATTTCAGTGGTCATGATAAGACAAGAAGCTGACGGATTTATTGTCACATCACCGGTAACTAAGCCAACATCTTTGAATTCTTCATTAAATTCACGATACTTTTGATTGGAGAGCGCTTTAATTGGTGTGGTATAAATCACACGCTGTTTGCAACCCAGGGATTTCGCAATAGCATACTCGGCAACTACCGTTTTGCCTGCCGAGGTGTGAGCTGACACCAGAACGCTCTGTTGATTATCAATGCAAAGGATTGCTTCTTTTTGAAAGGGATCCAATACAAATGGATACTCTTTTGCTGGTGTTCCCATGAAGGTTTGTATAGGAATATATTCCTGCCCTGGATACACCGCCACCTCGTGCGTGCATGACTCCGGACTTTCGATAACGTGGACTGCGATACGAGAACGCAATGCGTCTATGCATATATCATCCAATATCGACTCTGTTTCTTTTAAACGTTTTTGTGGAGCTTCGCAACCATCTGTTGATTCTTTAACGGCCGTACTTCCACGCTTTTCACGGCCTTGAATTTTTCTAAAAAAAAACTAGTGAGCAAAGTAGTTCTAATGTATAGATTTATGTATGTAGGTACTTTTCTTCCGAAGGATCTTTTTTAACTTTATCCCATTCTACAACTGGATTGGAATTTAAGCTTTCATCATTATCCTCATTAAAACAATCAAATAAATCGTCAACATAGGCCATGATTTTTAGTGATAATTATCCAAAAAAAAAAACAAATTAAAATCGTCTAAATAATAAGCGCAGTTAGGAATGAAATGATACGAGTAAATACAAGTACATACTCGATACTTTTCGTCCATAACCAAGTAATCTCAGTATATCCAGTAAAAAAACTGTGTGAAGTCCTTTATGGGGATAAAGTTTCCAGAGATGAAATTTTATGTAGCACACAATTTCTTACACGCATGGTTGCTTTTCAGCACTTATGAAAGAAACTTAAGAAATATTTGAAAAAAAGTTCATATAGTACATTAATTTTTGAAAGAAATACCATATAATGTATGTACTCTGGTTAATAATATCAAAAAATATATTAGAACCACCGTTTAATGTTATATTTGATACAAATTAATATTGCTGCCCCGAACGCTCTGCGCCTTGCCACTGAATAGTACGTTTACTTGAAATTACATCCCTGGTCCTTGTTCTTTCTGTATGGCATCGTGGTGAATTCACATTTCTCAGAAATTTGACAACAAAACAAAACAAAGCGAGTATTTTATTTGCTAATTTTTGCGATTTCTATTGTTTAATGTAAATTTATGTCTTTTTAGGATATGTCGAGCCAACAAAGAAGGCGCAGTTGGAAAATTGAGTAATTAGTAATGAAGTAGCAGGCATATTTGGAAAATTATGCCGATAAGCAGGATGGAATTTGGGAAAGTAAGTGCATGGTTGCAGCATATCTATGTATAAAAAGTATTTAATTAAATTGTTTATAGAAATGTTATAAATCGAGTGGCTCATTTACGATGTGCTCCAAAC